CCATGATGGCGGGTGGCGCGAGATGGAAGAGTTGGCTTCCATGAAAAAGGGGCCCTTTCTTGAAGACCCTGCCCAGCTATCGGGGTTTTGTTGGTTTGTGTTTTGTCATCTGTGATAGGAAGGCATCTTCTTAGCCATCGGGAGGGAAACCTCAACAAATTCAGCCATTCAGATCACAAGGGATTTCTTGGGTTTGGTGGATCTGAGATCTGGTCTGCCTCCGACTGCTCCCCGAGATTGCCTTTATGCCGAGAATGGGATTCCTCATCAGACACACAGAAGTCCGGCTCCTTGCCACGGAGCTGGCTGCTCTATGGATGCCTTTAAAAAGGAAGCCTGCCTTTAATTCGGACGTCGGAACGTGATCGGTCGCTTTTTCATGGGGGGTTGGCCAATTAAATTTCCCCCGCCTTGGGCGCCTGGGTGGCTCAGTTGGTTAAGCGGCTGCCTTCGGCTCCGGTCATGATCCTGGAGTCCCTGGATCGAGTCCCGCATCGGGCTCCCTGCTCAGCAGGGAGTCTGCTTCTCCCTCTGACCCTCCCCCCTCTCATGTGCTCTCTCTCATTCATTCTCTCTCTCTCTCTCTCTCTCTCTCTCTCTCTGTCTCAAATAAATAAACAAACAAACAAACAAACAAATAAATAAATAAATAAAATCTTAAAAAAAAAAAATTCCCCCCGCCTTACAAAGCAGAGACTGGTGAAGGGTCCTCCAAGTGCCCTCTGGAAATCAAGAGCTTCTGTATCAAGAGGCTGGAAAACGCATCTTCCCCTTCTTCCTGGTGAATCCAATTCTAGGGGTTGATTCAAAGGAAATCATGTTTTAGATGCTAAAACGTAAAGCTTACTTTTGCAAAAATGTGCATCGCGGCATAGGGTTTAGGAATCCCTTGTGGCAGACCGACAACCGTGTGTCCCTCACGTCCCGGCACGTGTGCACCCTCACGTCCTATGACTTCGATGCTCCTGCTATCCAGAGGTAGGCTTGATTGCTCTGTCCCTTGATTTTGGACCGGGTCTTGGGACTTGTCTTGACCCAAAGAATAGAGCAGAAGTGACACTTGGCTGGTTTCACAGCCTACACCTGAAGAGGTGGTCTGCCGGCGTTCTCGACCTTCTTGGCATGCCGTCCTGAGACCTCCACGTAAGAAAGCCAGTCTAGCTGACTGGAGCATGAGAGGCATTGACAACAGAGGCAGCCCGGTGCTCGGCGGCACCGACTGCCAGACGTGTGAAAGTTGACCCTCTGGCCGAAAGCCACTGCTTGAGTGAGCCCGGCGTAAACCCGCAGAACCCAAGGGGCCACCCAGGGCAAGCACCAGGAAGTTATCGATAAAGAAATGCTGTTTCGAGCCATTGCGGTGTTAGGATGATGCACCCTGAGGATCAGCTAGCTGCGCAGCAGCGATAGATACCGTGCACACAGATACACACCACACAACACACCACACCACACCCCCCCCACACACACACGTGTGCAGAAAACCAAACCAACGAAACAAACCAAAACTCTGTAGAACCCTGCACCAAATGTTGAGGAAACAACGGCCCACCCTCACAAGAAACACCTGCACGCTACATGTACAATGCATAGGGAGCCTATACTTGCAAGTGCTTACTTGCATGGGAAACATTTCACGATAACATGAGTCTCAGATGGCCCAAGCGGGGTTCTTTTGACATGTCTGAATTGTGTACACAATTAGAGAAAGCCTGCTAGGAGACTGGGTGATCAGAAACTAGGAAGCTCTTTGGTTCCCTCAGTGAAGCCCCGACTTTTGGGGAGGAACCAACACTCAGGGAGATGCTCTGGTCTTCATTTGGTTGGTTGGTTGGTTGGTTGGTTGGTTGGTTGGTTGCTGCAGCTTTTGCTATCTTTGCATAAAACCGACCCTGTTTCCATTGGGAATGGAAAACAACTGACGGGTGGGATCTGTACACGGTAATGCTGCTTCGCAGTTGCATTTGTTTTACTAAAAGAGGGAGATTTGAACATTGGGTCTTTCGTGTCCTCTCCATTCATGTCCTCTCCACAAATAAGACTGAAACAAAGGCTAAAATTTGTTTGCATCTTGTTTGTGTCTATGTGTCCGTATGTGTTATACATGTGAGGTATTTCCTCCACCTCCGGGTGCTATTGCTAACATCCATTTGTAAAGGAGCTCTATTTAATGAGTTCTATTTTTATTTTATTTTATTTTATTTTATTTATTTTATTCTTTAAAGATTTTATTTATTTATTTGACAGAGAGAGACACAGCGAGAGAGGGAACACAAGCAGGCGGAGTGGGAGAGGGAGAAGCAGGCTTCCCGCCGAGCAGGGAGCCCGATGCAGGGGCTTGATCCCAGGACCCTCGGATCATGACCTGAGCTAAAGGCAGACGCTTAACCACTGAGCCATCCAGGTGCCCCGAGTTTTATTTTTATTAAAGATTCTATTTATGTCTTTGAAAGAAAGCGAGTGAGAGAGCACACGAGCTGGGGGTGGGGGGGCATTGGGAGAGGGAGAAGCAGACTCCCCGCGGAGCAGGGAGCCGGATGTGGGGCTCCATCCCAGGACCCCAGGATCATGATGTGAACGCAAGGCAGACACTTAACTGCCTGAGCCACACAGGTGCCCCTACTTAAAGAGTTTAGAGGCAGGTGCTCGTAAAAATCGGGCATGGTAAAACTCAGATAAGAATAAACCCAGTTTTTCAAGCTCACATGATCTGGGATGAAATTCCCTACATTCAGACTCTTATGTCACTCCACAATAAAGATGCCTCAAGGTAAGGGACCCAAGGGACGGCCCAGAGATAGACAAAAATTTAACACACCTGACCTTACCCCCACTTCCCAACAGTCAAAATAATGAAGAAGAGGAGGAAGACAGGCCGATGCTAGAAATCTGAAATCCACTCCTCCTCCTCCCCAAGTACAGGCACCAGAACCGATGCCCAACCCACTGGCTTCCGGAGGGCTGAAAAGCCACCACAGACAAAGCCTATTAAGCAGAAGGAGATGAAGAAAGGGGCGGAGGCGGAGGCGGAGGCGGAGGCGGAGGCGGAGGCGGAGGCGGAGGCGGAGGCGGAGGCGGAGGCGGAGGCGGAGGCGGAGGCGGAGGCGGAGGCGGAGGCGGAGCAAAGAAAAAAAAGAAAAGGTTCGTCCAAAACTGTAAATGTATATGTGCCCTGGGCCTTACCAATGGCTCCCTTGCCGCCTCCCCTGCCCCGTTTCTGCACCACTGGTGTGTGTGCCTGGAGTGCTCTACTCCCCTGCCGCCGTCTCAGCCGCCCTTCCCTACCCCCGCCCCCCCGCCCCCCCCCCCCCGGGTGCCATGGGCTCCCCTTTCTCCTCCTCCTCCTCCTCCTCCTCCCCACCCCCTTATCAAGGAGCAAAAGCCCTTGCCCTTGGGCCCAAGCCCTTGGGCCACCTCCTTATGAGGTTTAAATTGGAGCACCTCCCAAACTAGCAGGAAGGGGCCCGAGGGCTCCGCTGATCTTAGACCGCCCGCTTCAGACTTTCCCCAAGGAGTCTGATGGGGGAAAACAATCGATTGACTTTTTAGTGGACGCAGGTGCAACTTCTTTGGCGTTAAAGCCAATTCAAGGTTGTTGGTTTATTTTAAAAAGACGTGGTTTTGGAGCTATCAATGTCACACATAATACAAATAATCAACTTTGCGTTCTTTCTTTCTTTCTTTCTTTCTTTCTTTCTTTCTTTCTTTCTTTCTTTCTTTCTTTCTTTCCCTTTTTCTTTCTTTCTTTCTTTCTTTCTTTCTTTCTTTCTTTCTTTCCTTTTCTTTCTTTTCTTTGTCATAAAAGCACTTGGATTCGGTTCTCCCTGCGTTACAAGCCGTTGGGTGGGCAGTGGAATGTGCCACGCTCCCGTCACAACAGTGAGCCTGTATTTGTGGTTATCAAAATATACCTCTCCATCACCTTTATAAAAACCAACCAACCAACCAACCACGTTTGGGTGCCTGGGTGGCTCAGTCGTTCAGCGTCTGCCTTCGGCTCAGGTCATGATCCCAGGGTCCTGGGATCGAGCCCCGCATTGGGCTCCCTGTTCATTGGGGAACCTTCTTTTCCCTCTGTCCCTTCCCCTGCTTGTGTTCCCTCTCTCGCTGTGTCTCTCTCTGTCAAATAAATAAAATTTATGAAATATATTCATACATTTGCCAATCTAAAGAATTCTGGTGTAATAGAGAGTGCGCCATTGGTTACTACTAACGTTTCACCAGAGACTGAGATTTCTAAGAATTAAAATTCTGCCACATGGAATTGGGACTGCTACAAAATGATAACAAAAACAACTCCGTGTGTGGGAAGGTAGGAGACGTGTAAAAGAGGTACAAGAAATGAGAAAACATTTTTTTTGTTGAGGGAAAAGGAAGTAATGGTGTACTGAAACGGGACTGGGTACTTAAAGAAAGAAAACTTTAAGACCGAGTCTGAATGAAAAAGGAAATTGTGGAAGGGGTTTGTGAAGGAGAATTTTTGAAAAGGAATTTTATGCATGGTCAGGACTGACTGAGCTTGGGAGAAGGCAGTTTGAAAAGCACACTGGTGGAACTGGAGGGTATTATGTTGAGCGAAATAAGTCAAACAGAGAAAGACATGTATCCTATGATCTCACGGATAGGAGGAATTCTTAATCGCAGGAAACAAGCTGAGGGTTGCTGGAGTGGGGGGTGGGGTGGGAGGGATGGGGTGACTGGCTGATAGACACTGGGGAGGGTAGGTGCTCTGGCAAGCGCTGTGAATTGTGCAAGACTGTTGAATCTCAGATCTGTACCTCTGAAACAAATAACGCAATCTATGTGAAGAAGAAAAAAAAAATAGAAGAAGGTAGCGGGAGGGGACGAATGAAGCGGGGGAAATCGGAGGGGCGGACGAACCATGAGAGACGATGGACTCTGAACAACAAACTGAGGGTTCTAGAGGGGAGGGGGGTGGGAGGATGGGTTAGCCTGGTGGTGGGTATTGAGGAGGGCCCATTCTGCATGGAGCACTGGGTGTTGTGCACAAACAATGAATCATGGAACACCACATCTAAAACTAATGATGTAATGTAGGGGATTAACATAAGAATAAAAAAAAGAAGAAGAAAAGCACACTGGTATAAGATTGAGATTTGGGTTTTCTATGTTAAAATGACAAGGTTTTCTTGGATTGTTAGTGTACTCTTTTTTTCTTTCTTAAGATTGTATTTATTTATTTGACAGAGAGAGACACAGCGAGAGAGGGAACACAAGCAGGGGGAGCGGGAGAGGGAGAAGCAGGCTCCCGGCCAAGCAGAGAGCCCGATGTGGGGCTCGATCCCAAGACCCTGGGATCATGACCTGAGCCGAAGGCCGACAGACGCTTGACGACTGAGCCACCCAGGCGCTCCTCCGAGATTTTATTTTTTAAATAATCTCTACACTGAACGTGGGGCTCGAACTCACAACCCTGAGATCAAGAGTCGTGCTCTCTACCGACTGAGCCAGCCAGGTGCCCCTGGACTGTCATCTCGAAGAGACACATGCGTAGACTCAGATATGGTGAGACTGCTTTAAGAAAGTCAGATTGACTTTATGGAGCCAGTAAAGCCCCTTAGAAATGTTGGCCTGATAACCTTGCTTAGAGAGGTCCCCTCAACCTTACCAGGTGAGTGAAGAGTACCACCTCCTGGCAGATGCAGGAACTTCAGGAAATTTGGAGGCCCTCAAAGAAGAGAGGAATTCACCCAAATCTACAAGTCTTTTTTTTTTTTGTAATTTTTTTTATTCTTATGTTAATCCCCGTACATCACATCATTAGTTTTAGATGTAGTGTTCCATGATTCATTGTTTGTGCACAACACCCAGTGCTCCATGCAGAATGCGCCCTCCTCAATACCCACCACCAGGCTAACCCATCCTCCCACCCCCCTCCCCTCTAGAACCCTCAGTTTGTTTTTCAGAGTCCATCGTCTCTCCTGGTTCGTCTACCCCTCCGCAAATCTACAAGTCTTGCAGGCGAATCTGATGGCCAATATTTGGCTTGGTTCTCGGCTTTAAAAAGGCAGTTAAAGGATCAATCTAAAATTCCTTGTAAAAAGCTCCATCAAAGCAGATTTAAAAGAAGGAAAGGAAAAAGAAAAGAGAAGAAAGACCCCATATATGGTCAATTGCTATTCTTGCTGTCCCTACGTAGATGATTGGGCCAAGTTTGTTAAAACTGGACTTGTTTTACAAACAAATTAATCTTCTTTTGGCTATCTTTGACAGGAATGAAGGTGACTTTAGAGAGAAAGATTACATTTCAATAACACACTTTTGTGAGTGTTAGATTAATTATCTTTGAACGTTTATTGTTTGCCTATAAAACTGGACTGGATCCTGGATCCTTCTGGTTTCCTTGAGTATCTGACTGTGACTCTTCAAACTAAGGTTTCCAACATTCTCCCATTCTCTCTCTTTTTTTTAATTAATTTATTTTTTTATTCTTAGGTTAATCCCCATACATTACATCATTAGTTTTAGATGAAGTATTCCATGATTCATTGTTTGTGCATAACACCCAGTGCTCCATGCAGAATGGGCCCTCCTCAATACCCACCACCAGGCTAACCCATCCTCCCACCCCCCTCCCCTCTAGAACCCTCAGTTTGTTGTTCAGAGTCCATCGTCTCTCATGGTTCGTCCGCCCCTCCGATTTCCCCCCGCTTCATTCGTCCCCTCCCGCTACCTCCTCCTCCTCCTCCTCCTTCTTCCTCCTCCTCCTCCTCTTCTTCTTCTTCTTCTTCTTTTCTCCTTCTTCTTCTTCTTCTCCTTCTTCTTCTTCTTCTTCTTCTTCTTCTTCTTCTTCTTCTTCTTCTTCTTCTTCTTCTTCTTCTCCTTCTCTCCTTCTCCTTCTTCTTCTTCTTCTTCTTCTTCTTCTTCTTCTTCTTCTTCTTCTTCTTCTTCTTCTTCTCTCTTCTTCTTCTTCTTCTTCTTCTTCTTCTTCTTCTTCTTCTTCTTCTTCTCTCCTTCTTCTTCTTCTTCTCTCCTTCTTCTTCTTCTTCTTCTTCTTCTTTTCTTCTTCTTCTTCTTCTCTCCTTCTTCTTCTTCTTCTTCTTCTTCTTCTTTTCTTCTTCTTCTTTTCTTCTCCTTCTTCTTTTCTTCTTCTTTTCGTCTTCTTCTTTTCTTCTCCTTCTTCTTTTCTCCTCCTCCTTTTCTCCTCCTCCTCCTCCTCCTCCTCCTCCTTCTTCTTCTTCTTCTTTTTTTCCCCTTAACATATATTGCATTATTTGTTTCAGAACATTCTCCCATTCTCTTATCTTACAATCATTAAGAACTAAAACTGTCCTTTTTCCTGAAGTCTGGCAAATGAAAGCTGGACAACTTGAAATAAATTTCAGGGAAATGACCACAATAACTCATATATAGACAATCTTTGTGCCTGTTGCTCTATGAGTCACTCAAAATGAGACATTTGAACTATACGCCAGAAAAATTAGTCAGATTGCCCCTGCCCACTCCCACTCTATTGGAGGATGCTTCAAGCCTGACATCTAGAGACCTTCTCACTGGCAGCCCTCTGGACTTAGACACCAGGTGTATCCCTTGTTCCAACCATTAACCATGTTTTCCTTTTGTTTCCATAGAAATGCCTCTTATTAACTACAAGATCACTTGCTGAATGAGGCAGAGTCTATGATCCTTAATTCCACCTTGCTGCACCTGTATTAACTCCTCTTTGGAAAATAAGAACCCATATAAATAGGGGCACCTGGCTGGCTCAGCTGGTAGAACATACGACTCTAGATCTCGGGGTTGTGAGTTCGAGCCCCACATTGAGTGTAGAGATTACTTAATAGAAATCTTTAAAGAAAAAAAAAAATAAAAAAGAACCCATGTAAATAAAATCAAACACTAAGCTACTTGGCTACCAGAAGCCCTTCACCACCACAACCTACCGCCCCCCCCCCAGGGGAGGGGCTCAGACTAATTTACTGATCTGTATTCTTGGATACCCACCGATATCAGATCAATTTGAGAGAGAATGAGAGAATTGGGTTTGACTCTACTGTTACTATTCCTTAGACTACACTTGGGGATAAAATCAATGGTGTCATGTAGTCCCAAACCATGTAGAAAAATAACCAAGTTCTCAGATAAGGAACTATCTCTGAGACCCCCTCCATTAGCACAAGGGACCAAAAATTGCGACCTGCAGTGTCTCAGATCCTTCCATTCCAAAGCCTCTACTGCACCCTAATTCAGCTTGAAGCAGTTAAATAAAGAAGGCAGACCTCTGCCCATGTGTCATAGAAATGGAATGCAGGATGGACAAGGGGAAATTTTAACAGGGAAAAATGTAGCATGTCTGACTCCCTGTTATTTTTATTCCCTTTTAACCTGTAGGTTAAAAACTTCTGTTTAGCCCTGAACATAGCCATGTTACAGCTAAGATTTACAGAAACTGTCGTTTACCCAAAACCTACCTCCCCTGAGGAGATGAAAGAATAGCCACAGCCATCATCATCCCAATTCCCTAAGACTGAGGAATGATCCTCACTTGGTGGGGGTGGGGGTGGGGGTGGGGGTGGGGATTGAAACCGTGCCCCATAAGGTTAATGAGGTTGATGCTAGCAGAAAGCTTAAAGCTGGTTTTTCAGGGAACTGTTTCCCCCTAGTCAGCTATTGTGTCTTTTCAGGCCCTGCTACCAAATACTGGCTGTCTCTGCAGAAGTCTGGACTCAAGGTCAACTGATAATGGCTGCAGCCTATGAAGAAGCGAGGTCCTGATTCCTTACCTGAGAAAAGGAGCCTAAGACCCCATCCAGGTTGTACCAGCTCTCAGAGCATGCCCACAGCCTCTTCTCCTTGTCCTCAGATAACCTCCTGACATCAGGGACTCAGTTTTGCCTCATTCAGATGTCAGGTCTCCACCCCGAAGTAAACATGGGAATCTATGGTACATATGTTTCCTGAATATACGTGCTCCAACTTTCGCCATGAATAATCATAAATGTCCCTGCCCTTTTCCTTTTTGAAGTTTGATTGTTTGTTTTTATTTATTTATTTCAGAGAGAGAGACACACAGAGAGAGACAGAGACAGAGAGAGAAACACACAGAGAGAGAGAGAGACAGAGAGACAGAGAGACAGAGAGACAGAGAGACAGAGAGCTTGCACGCATGGGTGGGTGGAGGGGCAGAGGGAGAGGGAGAAGACTCCCCATTGAGCAGGGAGCCCCAGAGGGGTGGGGCTCGATCCCAGCACCCTGAGATTATGACCTGAGCTGAAGGCAGATGCTCAACCGGCAGCCACCCAGGCGCCCCTCCATTCCATTTTTTTTTTTTAAAGAGATAAACATTACATACTTTATTTTTAAAAATTCATTCATTCATTCATTCATTCATTCATTCATTCATTCATTCATTTTTCATCATCTGTAGTCCCAGTGTAGGGCTTGAACTCAGGACCCTGACTGAGATCAAGAGTCATGTGCTGTTCTGACTGAGCCACCCAGGTGCTCCTTCTGTTCCATATTTTAAACAACCCTGGGATCATGGCTCAGAGTCACAGTTGGCCCAATGAGACTCACACTCACCCCTCTGTGCAGAGGTGCCATCTGTGGGGCTGGTTCCTGTTTGTCCATCTTCCTTCCTCCTCTTACTGGACAGGAAGGTGGTGTGCGAAAACAGCCAGTGACTACGTGGAATGAGACCGAGGATTTCCCTTGGGAAGCAGGTGGGAGAGGGAGGACAGGTCGATGGATAATCAATAAACTGTTTTTTTTTTTTTTTTTTAAGATTGTATTTATTTATTTATTTGACAGAGAGAGACACAGCGAGAGAGGGAACACAAGCAGGGGGAGTGGGAGAGGGAGAAGCGGGCTTCCCGCGGAGCAGGGAGCCCGATGCGGAGCTCGATCCCAGGACCCTGGGATCATGACCTGAGCCGAAGGCACATGCTTAATGACTGAGCCACCCAGGTGCCCCAACAATCAATAAACTGTTAATGTTGATTTAGAGGAGTGTGCTTGCTGGGCCCATAACTCGGTGGATGAGTTAGAACGGTCCCTGTCAGGCCTCCCTTAGCCCTTAGCCCTTAGCCCTTATCACTCCATGCTTGTGTTTGGCCTCTGACCGCTAAGATACCACCATCATGTGTTCAAGGTCCTCCTCAGACTCAGCCAGCCACACCATGCCACACCCTCCTACCTGCACACCCATCCCTGGAAGGCAGTATAGTAAGACATCATCCCCCACATTCATGATTCCCAAAGGGTTTACTGGAGTTTCGTGGGTTAGGAAAAGGAGGGGACTCTTTTTGCCCCCAGATGAGGTGAGCTCTTCAGACACCCTCTTTCCCCTTCCCCTCCTCCCTCCCTCCCTTCCCTCCCTCCCTCCCTCCCTCCCTCCCTCCCTCCCTCCCTCCCTTCCGTCCCTCCCTCCCTCCCTCCCTCATCTCTCTCCGAAGTTTGCAAGCTGCAGCCTAAGGGTTAGGGGGAGTTGAGGAAAGCCATTGAATGGAGGGAAGCTCCAGGCTCTGACTTTAACAGAAAGCTTTCTGCATTTGAATGAAGCGATTGAATGAGGCCCATTAGAATGGATCACCCTGAACGTCCCATCAGCCGCCCCAGCCCCAGCCCCAGCCCCCCCATCCCCCCCCAACTGAAGTCCTCTGGTCGAATTGGAACAGTAGGCTGGGGGGGGGGGGGGGGGCTGTCCATCCTAAGTTGGTAACTAGGCCCCTGGTCCATAGGGAAAAAATCACGCACGGGTACAGATGAGTTGGTAGCTCAGGCAAAGTGGTCGAAGTGTTGGCAAGGTTTCCGTGGATGAGGGGAGATTTGTTCTGGGACCACCCTCCCATATACATCTCTGGCTGAGAAGAGGACAGGGGAGCCCTGTGGGGGTGGGGGTGGGGGTGGGGGTGGGGGGGCGGGACCCAGATCTGGAGCTCGGAGTGGACTATAGCCGCTGCCTGCCCGGGTGTGTGTGCCTGGGGGGCGGGGGGGGGGGCGCTGAGGGATAAGGGCTGAGGGTGGTGGGGTCTGCTCACGCTGACTCCTGCAACTCAATTCATCCTGGGAACCTTCTGTTGTTTCTGCTGAGGTGCCAGGTGCTGTGATGACCAAAGCTAAACTCCTCTCTTTGCCTAGTTCTTAAAAGGCCTGATCCTCCTGTTATCTTGTTAAATGGACCGACCCCTGCACCCTCCCATCCTGCCAGACCCCTTGTGCAAATACTTCCACTTGAAGAGTTCTTTCTCTGAATCTAGAAAATAAACAGACAACACCCACCAGCCACACCGACCCCATTGCCACAAATACCTAGCAAAGACAAATCTAGCTGGTCTCCTTCTGCCTCAAGGCACTTTAGAGAGTCACTCTCTCAGACACACCTTAGGCTCAATTACAGGCTGCTGTCTCCCTTTCTCTGGCACAATTCCATCCCTGGAGGAGCCCCATATCGCATCTGCAGCCGTGAGCTGGAGACAGTATGCTCAAGTGACCGGGTGGTAGCACCGTAACTTTGAAATGACCTATACCCCAAGTCATCCATGAACATGGTCCCTGGAAATCTTTGACATTCACGTGCCTCTGATGAAATCCTTGCTTTGGAAACTCCAGCACCCATAGCCAATCTTGTCCATGTTCTGCTAACCTTTGCTCGCCCTCTGTTCGCCTGATATCTTGCCTGATTGTTTACAGAGAAATTAGATCCCATCCAGCAAGAGCTGAATCCGAGTCCTCTGCTCACCCCACGACGGAAAAGAATATGCACAGGCCTGCATCCCTCTTCTCCTTCTCCACCATGTCGGAAGAAAAGGTGGCCCTCCCTCCTCCCATCAGAACCCAAACCCGAGATAAGACTTAGATATAAAGGAAACCAGCATACTGTTTTGAACTCTATATACACTTGTAAAAAACGAGCAGCGGCAAGGAAACACACAAACCACCACCCCCCCCCACACACACACAGGTGCAAGGAGGGTGCGCTGACTCGCTGAATCTCCCCCTTTTCTCCCGAGAGGCATCCCCCCCATCCCCCGCCCCCCCCCGAAGATGTCCTCCCTATGCCGGAAGGGGAGTGAGTGACGTTCTTTTCTTCCTTTTTTTTTTTTTTTAAATTATTCTTTTTAAAAGACTTTTATTTATTTGAGAGGAGGGGTGGGGGGGAGGGAGGGGGGAGGGAGGGAGAGAGAGAGAGAGAGAGAGAGATTGAGAGAGAGAGAAGCAGAGTCTCCGCCGAGCAGGGAGCCCGATGTGGGGCTGGATCCCCGGACCCTGAGCTCAGGGCCTGAGCCGAAGGCAGGCGGACGGTTCACGGATTGAGCCAGCCAGGCGCCCCAGCTTTCTTGTTTCTTTGTCTGCCTGCTTGCCTGCGTGTTGGGTCTGTGGATGTCTGATGCCTGCCCTCTGATTTCGTGGGGAGGTGGGCCGTCTTTCCTCCTTCCAATGGCCTTTGCGCATTTGTCAAACTTCTGTCGGGCTTGGGCCTATCTGTTTGGGTATCTGTGGCGTTCCATCCACCGACCTGTCTCTTTTGTCTGCCAACATCACAGGGTCTCTATCGCCTCTATACATAAGCATGAAACGGGCCCGGAGAGGACGACTTTGTTTCCTGAGTTTTGTTTTGTTTTCTTCGAAATCACCATAGCGATTCTAATTCCTTTTGCCTGTCTGCTTGTGTATGTAATCTGTACACCCATCCAGTGCGGTGCTGGAACTCACGACGCCCGCCGATCAAGAGTCGCGGTCGCGTGGGCCTCCTCCGACCGAGCCAGCCAGGTGCCCTGAAATACGTGTACTTGAAAAACCAATGTGAAGCCTGCACCCGTGAACTTTTTTTTTTAAAGATTTTATTTATTTATTTGAGACAGAGAGAATGAGAGAGACAGAGAGCACATGAGAGGGGGGAAGGGTCAGAGGGAGAAGCAGACTCCCTGCCGAGCAGGGAGCCCGATGCGGGACTCGATCCCGGGACTCCGGGATCATGACCTGAGCCGAAGGCAGTCGCTTAACCAACTGAGCCACCCAGGCGCCCTTTTTTTTCTTTTCTTTTCTTTTTTTTTTTTAATAGATGCACCCGTGAAGTGTTTACTGCGAAACCTTCTTTTGATCGTCGCACTCTTGAGTGGAGGCCGTACCAGTAAAGAACGTAGTTTAGCCAACTCAGGAAGAGATCAGCTTTAAAGGAAAACCTTCTTTTCGAGTTTGTGATGTCTGGTCCTTTCTCTCAACTCGATCGATGTCCAGCCTTCAGAGCCACATTATTTGCTTGGTCTCTCTCTCTCTCTCTCTCTCTCTCTCTCTCTCTCTCTCTCGTCTGTGTTTCCTCGTGTACTTTCCTGATGCTCAGGATTTATGGTTTAGAGAGAACAGTTTTCAGCCTGGTGTGTGTGTGTGGGGGGGGGGATGTTGTGAAGTGGGATCAGGGATTCACGCGGGTAAGGAGGAGGCAAGGAGAAAGGCTTGGTTGGGAAGGAAACCATTAAAGGTCCATGTTGAAATGGTGAAGTTTATTTTATTTATTTATTTATTTATTTATTTATTTATTTATTTATTTATTTATTTATTTATTTACTTTTTAAAGATTTTATTTATTTATTTGACAGAGAGAGACAGCGAGAGAGAGAACACAGGCAGGGGGAGTGGGAGAGGGAGAAGCAGGCCTCCCGCGGAGCAGGGAGCCCGATGTGGGGCTCGATCCCAGGGCCCTGGGCTCGTCACCTGAGCCGAAGGCGGACGCTTAACGACTGAGCCACCCCCCAGGTGCCCCGAAATGGTGAAGTTCAATGTAGTAAGAGTTACCTTTAATCAAAGGAATTCTTTTTTTTTTCTTTTATTTTATTCTTATGTTAATCCCCATACATTACATCATTAGTTTTAGATGAAGTGTTCCATGATTCATTGTTTGTGCACAACACCCACTGCTCCATGCAGAATGGGCCCTCCTCAATACCCACCACCAGGCTAACCCATCCTCCCACCCCCCTCCCCTCTAGAACCCTCAGTTTGTTGTTCAGAGTCCATCGTCTCTCATGGTTCGTCTACCCCTCTGATTTCCCCCCGCTTCATTCTTCCCCTCCTGCTACCTCCTCCTCCTCCTCCTCCTCCTCCTCCTCCTCCTTCTTCTTCTTCTTCTTTTTTTTTTCTTAACATAGATTGCATTATTATTTGTTTCAGAGGTACAGATCTGAGATTCAACAGTCTTGCACAATTCACAGCGCTTACCAGAGCACACACCCTCCCCAGTGTCCATCACCCAGTCACCCCATCCCTCCCACCCCACCCCCCACTCCAACAACACTCAGTTTGTTTCCTGCGATTAAGATAATCAAAGGAATTCTTGCTGGAGGTTGCTTCTCCCCTCTCCTCCCTGGATAGGGGAGTGAAGTTTTTTCGAGGTCCCTAGTGGACACAGAAAGCGTTCAAGTGCCCCTAGCACCTATGGATGGGGCTCTGTTGCCCTCTAGTGTCCTATCCTCTGCTACTGCTGCTCGTGGTTTCCTCTGACGTCGTATTCGTCACAGGTGTGTATCTTTGATGGTTAATGCTGCTCGGTGTCGGTTGTTTGCGTGTTTGTTTTTGAAAGCTTTTTGAGTGATCATCCAGCATGGTGCTGGAACTCACGACCCCTGCAGATCAAGAGTCGCAGTCGCGTGGGCCTCCTCCGACCGGAGCCAGTCAGGTGCCCTGAAATGCGCTTAGTTGAAACAGGAAGAAAGAAAAAACAAAAAACAAAACCCAAACCATTTTTTTTTTCCCCCTTTACGAGCCAGAGGAAGTTCTACGCCTTGTTTTTGTTTTACCCTTAATAGCATGGAACAGTTCTCCTCCTCCTCCTCCTCCTCCTCCTCCTCCTCCTTCTTCTTCTTCTCCATCATCATCATCATCATCATCAATATTTAACTCTTCTAGAGCACCTCCCCCGCCCACCCCGTACTAGTGTTGGACGGCACGGATGTCCCGGAACTGGATTTCTTTAAAGATATATATTTTTACGATTTTATTGATTTATTTGACAGAGGGAGACACAGCGAGAGAGGGAACACAAGCAGGGGGAGTGGGAGAGGGAGAAGCAGGCTTCCTGCCGAGCAGGGAGCCCGATGCGGGACTCGATCCCGGGACTCCGGGATCATGACCTGAGCCGAAGGCAGTCGCTTAACCAACTGAGCCACCCAGGCGCCCTCTTTTTTTTTTTTTCTTAACATAGATTGCATTATTTGTTTCAGAGGTACAGATCTGAGATTCAACAGTCTTGCACAATTCACAGCGCTTGCCAGAGCACCTACCCTCCCCAGTGTCTATCACCCAGTCACCCCATCCCTCCCACCCCACCCCCCACTCCAGCAACCCTCAGCTTGTTTCCTGCGATTAAGAATTCCTCCTATCCGTGAGATCATAGGATACATGTCTTTCTCTGTTTGACTTATTTCACTCAACATAATACCCTCCAGTTCCATCCACGTCGTTGCCAATGGCAAGATCTCATTCCTTTTGATGGTTGCATGATATTCCATTGTATGTATATATATACCACATCTTCTTTATCCATTCATCTGTCGATGGACATCTTGGCTCTTTCCACAGTTTGGCTATCGTGGATATTGCTGCTATAAACATCGGGGTGCACGTACCCCTTCGGATCCCTATTTTTGTATCTTTGGGGTAAATACCCAGTAGTGCAATTGCTGGATCATACGGCAGCTCTAGTTTCAACTTTTTGAGGAATCTCCATACAGTTTTCCAGAGTGGCTGCACCAGCTTGCATTCCCACCAACAGTGTAGGAGGGTTCCCCTTTCTCCGCATCCCCGCCAACATCTGTCATTTCCTGACTTGTTACTTTTAGCCATTCTGACTGGTGTGAGGTGGTATCTCATTGAGGTTTTTTTTTTTTTTTTTAAGATTTTATTTATTTATTTGAGAGAGAGAGAGAGACAGAAAGAGAGCATGAGAGGGGGGAGGGTCAGGAGGATCAGAGGGAGAAGCAGACTCCCCGCTGAGCAGGGAGCCCGATGCGGGACTCGATCCTGGGACTCCAGGATCATGACCCGAGCCGAAGGCGGTCGCTTAACCAACTGAGCCACCCAGGCGCCCTCATTGAGGTTTTGATTTGGATTTCCCTGATGCTGAGCGATATTGAGCACTTTTTCATGTGTCTGTTGGCCATTTGGATGTCTTCTTTGGAAAAATGTCTGTTCATGTCTTCTGCCCATTTCTTGATTGGATTCTTTGTTCTTTGGGTGTTGAGTTGGATGAGTTCTTTATAGATTTTGGATACGAGCCCTTTATCTGATATGTCATTTGCAAATATCTTCTCCCATTCTGTCGGTTGTCTTTTGGTTTTGTGGACTGTTTCCTTTGCTTTGCAAAAGCTTTTTATCTTGATGAAGTCCCAATAGTTCATTTTTGCCTTTGCTTCCCTTGCCTTTGGCGATGTTTCTAGGAAGAAGTTGCTTTGGCTGAGGTCAAAGAGGTTGCTGCCTGTGTTCTCCTTTAGGATTTGGATGGACTCCTGTCTCACATTGAGGTCTTTCAACCATTTGGAGTCTATTTTTGTGTGTGGTGTAAGGAAATGGTCCAGTTTCATTCTTCTGCATGTGGCTATCCAATTTTCCCAACACCATTTGTTGAAGAGACTGTCTTTGTTCCATTGGACATTCTTTCCTGCTTTGTCAAAGATGAGTTGACCATAGAGTTGAGGGTCCATTTCTGGGCTCTCTATTCTGCGGAACTGGATTTCTTGAGTGAAGGACTATTTTAACTCCCTTCCTCCCCATTCCGCGCCTGCCCCCGCCCCGCCCCCCGCCCCCGCACGCACC